CCGGGGCCACCCTCCCGCGCGGAGCTGCGCCACCATCCACAGACCCGGCCCGGGATGCCCTCTGTGGGGACGGGGCGATAGCTCCACCCACTGGCCCCACAGAAGCAGGGTTTGGGGGGGCATGGGGTTCGCGGGCTGCAGGCCACATAGAGGCTGGTGCCCCCCTGAATACACTTTTCATTTCTGGGCAGTTTTCAACATAAACAGTCATCGGGAAGGTCCACCCCACGTGGTCCGTCGTCACCACCGCCCGCCGGTGCGGCGCTGCCCGGGCCAGACCAGGAACCTGCCTGGCTCGCTGTCGGTAACCGAAGTCCACTCTGCTCAGGCGTCCTTGGTTTTCCTGTCACTCCCTCTCCGCCCCGGTCGTCATGCCTCCCCAGGCTCCTCTGGACCCAGCCGTCTCTCACGCCCCTGGTTTTGGGGGGCCCGGTAATTTGGAGGGGAGGGAGGCTCTGGGGCCATCCCTCCATCGGGATTGTGGGATGTTTCTATGGAGACTACACTGGGGTGAGGTTCTGGGAGGAAGACCACGGAGCTGAAGGGTCTTCTCTCATGTCGGGGCCACATGGGATCACGGTGACGAGCTGGGGCCCTGACTGCAGGGTGCTTGTCAGCGTCTTCCAGCAAAGCTCGCCTGCCCAGGTCATGGTCTCAGGGTCCTGGGATCGAGCCCCGCATCGGGCTCTCTGTTCAGCGGGGAGCCTGCTTCCCCCTCTCTCCCTCTGCCTGCCTCTCTGCCTGCTTGTGATCTCTGTCAAATAAATAAATAAAATCTTAAAACAAAAAAAAAGCTCACCTGCCTCCCGTGCTTGCGGGAAGGCGGTGGCCACACGCAGCCCACATGACGGGCTGCGGAGTCTTCTGGAGAAACCCCCTTTTAAAGGGCAGCTTCTCACGTGTCTTCCTACGTGGCATCCGGGTGCTTGCTACACACGTCCAACTAAGGGCCACGGACGATGATCTCTCAAACGTCTGGGGGCTCGTCACATGGAAGGTATAGTTCTCGGTGTTTTCCTGGCTGTTTGCACCTCGAGTCTCCCCAGGCTCTGCCCCTCTGCCCCCCAGGGTGGGGCTCACAGAGGCCGGGGGAGTAGACTGTGCCGGTGACACCAGGCCTCACCGGAAGCCGGAAATGCAGCTGTCCTCTTGTGCCAGAGGCCGCAGAGGTGACCTTCCTACTGGCAGGAGGCAGGAGTCCCCCAGACCTGTGAGCTTTCTTGCTGATACAGCGGACGGTCACGGAGAACGTGGGTATGGCCGGGACCCAGAACACAGTCCTCCGGACACAATCAGATGGCTGTGCCAGAACCTGGCCCAGGCCGGTCACCCAGGGCACCCGGTGTGGACGCGGTCAGTAGTGCAAGCCAGGGCGGATGGGAAAGGCGAGGTCCTGATAGGTACACCCGTCCCTCTGGCCCTGGAACTTTCTGGTTACCCATTATAAGAGCTTTAATCCAAGAAGGAGAAAAGGAGGAGGAGCCTGGACTGGCTGCTCCTTCTCTGAGAGCCGGAGGAAGGAGGAAGGCAGAGGGAGAGAGAAGCGGCCCCCTTGCCCAGCAAGCACACGCGTCCCTGTGGTCGGAGCCGAACGGCCACCCCTTCGGCCAAGCTCAGCAGACACCGGGTCAGGCAGAAAGGGGCGCGGAGGTGAAGGCCCTTCAAAGTGCTGCTGGGCGGCCACCTCAGAAAGCTCTCCTTCTGCTTCGCAAAAACTCACAAACCCTTGTGCCTGCCAGGAGAACAGCTTGCCTGAAAAGCAAAGGCTGTCATCCCGTAATTAAATCTGAGACCCCCTCCCTACGCGACTCCGAGATGAAGCAGCTTATGTAACGCGCCTAAAATAAGCGGCAGCAGGCGCGCACTTCTATTCCTCCCGCTCCCAGCCCTCGGCTCCTGGGCCACCCGGGCTGTGGGCCGAGGAGCCGGGGTCGGCACCGTCAGGCTTTCGCCTCCAAACGCGGCCCCGCGGCGCACACGCATCCGGACCGGGGACCCTCGTGCTCAGGGCTGGGTGCTGAAGACCCACGTGGCTACACACCGCCCGGGCCACGCAGGCTGCAGAGGTGAGAACCGGCCGTGAGAACTGACGGGGCAGCTGGTGGTTCCAGGGGTCCGGAGCCCGTGCCTTCTCGGGGATCCCTGAGCTGCCTCCCAGCTCTGGCCCGAGTGCAGGACAGACACCGCCCTGGTCTGCGGCGTGCTGGGAGCTGCCCGTCTCCGCCGCGCTGGCCCTCACGCTAACCCTCTCCAACTTCTCCATCGTGACAGCACCTTCTCTTGCTGGTCCGGGAGGGGGTGGGCCAGACCCCAAGTGTAGGCAATGACCCGCAGCTGCACTGACTGCCGGCCTCCGGGCGAGGCGTTCCACCCCACAGCCCCCCCACGCTCTGAGTTAAGGAGAAAAGGAACCAGGCTTTATAAAGGGCTCCGAACGCCTCCCAAATAAAAAGGTGCGAAGACAAGGGTGCCCCCTTAACTCCGGGGGCTGGCACTGGAGCCGACCTCTCAGCACCCAGCCCACCATCTAGCCTTGCCCACTGCTCGGATCCTAGGCTCTTACCCTTGGCCCTAGCCCTGCCCCAGACACCATCACCCCTGGAAGGAGCTTCCACAAAAGAAAGAAAACCCTCAGAGAGCCCTGGGGTCTCCCAGGCGGGGAGACCCCCGCTGACAGTCTCCTTCGCAGCCGAAGGAGTGGGCACACCTGCGCTGAGACCCTTCTGGAGTGTGGTGGCTCAGAGAGGTCGCCAGGCCCTGCTACGACGGCCTCGCCCACGGCTCACTCTGCACCTGCCATCAGCCCTGCCAGGGTTCTCGCGGATGCTCAGTGCAATGCTCCTTTCCTTTCATTGGTGGCAGGTGCTGACGGATGGCTTCCCTCCCCGGGATGGGCTAGGGCCATCTGCACACCGGGGAGGCAGGCTAGGCTCTGAGTGGGTCCCCTACCTCAGCCGCTACCAAAAATGAGCGAGCCCTCCCGGGGGGCAGGAGGTGGGGAGCCAAGAGCAGGAGCGCCTAGAGGGCGGGGCTTAGGCCGAGGGGTGCTTCTCTGGAGAGGGCCCGCTCCTCCCTCTATCGCCGAGACTGATGGGAGCAGACAGCTCCGAACTCTCCAGGCTGATTCCCCTCCCACAGGGATGAGACCCCCCCCTCCCCGGTTTTCCTGCCAGCCTCCGCCTGTCATTCTTCTGGTCTCAACCACGTCACTTCCCTTCAGGCGGGCAACAGCTCTACCCTCCACCCACCCTTGACCCCGGTCAGGTCAACGGATGTCAGTCGTAGGGCTGGCTGGAAGCAGGCTCGGTACCATGCTGGCCTGGAAAGAAAGGCAGAGAAGGGCAGGAAGACAGCCCCAACAGGCAGGTCAACATCCCAGACGTCAGATCTGATCGGGGCCGGCTTTCTGTCGCTCGCGACCAAAAGAATCCCGGGATCTACACACACAGAGTCCGTCTGAAAGCACCGGAGCGCTAGAGGGAGAGGAGGAAGCCAGAGCTGGGGTCAGGAAGGAAACCCTTTCCCCGCAGCACTCCTCCCGGAGGGGCGCAGTCCCCTTGGGTCCCGGGCGCCGGGACTTTAGCACTTGCCTTAGTCCTGCTCTGTCCACAGCCGGCTCCAGGTCTGCGTCCCCCGGGGCACCTGCGCTCGAGGACGCGTGGAAGCGACTGTCCTAGACGGGAGACTGGCAGAGAGCGTCAGGCTTCGTTAGAGGGAAACGCTCGGATCTGCCTCAAGAGTTTGCATCCCTCCCTGTCACTCCAACTCACACCAACGTTCTTCGCAGCAACCGCACTGGGAGCCCCGGGGCCAGCGTGGTCAGCTCCCAGGGCCGAACCCCCCCCACCAAAGGCCTCAAGACCAGCAGCTCTGTCGGACCCCTTGATCCCTCCCCACAGAAACTGCCCCAGCAGGGTCGTCTGCCACCGCAGCGTCCTCTCCTCCCCTGGGCGCCCCCCGCAGCCCCCCCCCCCGGTTCTCTCCCCCCCCCCCCCCCCCCACGTCCGCCCCCTCGACGATCTTCCCGGCAAATTCTTCCAGGACGCTCCCCTCTCCAGGACTGTCTTCAGGGCCCACCCCACCCCGTGGCCACCCCCCCCCCAGAGTCCTCCCCTCCCAGGTCCTCCTCCAGGACGCACCCTCACCCCGGGTCCATCCCCCCACAGCCCACCCCCCCCGGCCCCCCCCCCCCGGGCCCCCCCCCCCCAGGGCCCCCCCCCAGGACCCCCCCCGCCCAGGTCCCTCTCCAGGGCCCACCCCCCAAGGGCCTCCCGCCCATCCTCCTTTGCGCCCGAGACCGCGCCAGCCGCACGCTCACCTCCGACACTCCGGGTCTGGGCCGGACGGTCTCTCCGTCCGTCCTCGCGCCCGCACGGCCGCCCGCAGCACCCACCCCCGCCCCGCCGCCTGCAGGGAGTGGCGCCCAAAGGCCGCCCCGACTCGCGACTCCGCGAAGAGCCGCCCCCACGCGCGCTCGCCGCAGCGCCCCCGCTCCCCCACCTTCCGCTCCCCTCCTCCAGCGCCTCCGGCCCACGCCGCCCCGCCCCCAGCCCGGCTGTCGCCCGGCCCCCAGGCTGTTCCCAGGGCCGCGGCCCGCGCCGCGCCTCCGCCTCCTCCCCTGCGATCGACAGCGCCGCCGGCCAATCGCTGCCTGCAGCCGGCCCTCGGGCCCCGCCCCCTCCCCCGTCTCCGGAACCCACCAATGGGAAGGGCGGCGCGGGGGCGGGGCCTGCCGGTTGCCTGGCAGCGGCACGGCCGGGCGGGGGCGGGCTGGCGGCCGGGGGCGGCGATCCGTGTGCGGGGGGCGGGGCCTGCGGGGGGCGGGGCATAGGCGGTTATAAAGGCGGTCGCCGACGGGGCGCCGCGTTTCTGGTCCGGTTCCGTGCGCTGACCGCCCGTCTCTGCCGCGCCCGTCGCGCCGCCGCCGCCGCCGCCCGCCGCCGCCGCCGCCCGCCGCCCCCTGCCGCCCGTGCCCCCGCTCCGCGGTGCCGCCGGACCAGCACCATGTCGCTGTCGCGCACGGAGGAGATGCACCGGCTCACGGAAAACGTCTACAAGGTGAGCCCCGCGCCGCCCGCGCCGCCCGCGCTCTCGGGCCCGACCGGCGCGGCCCCGCGGCCCTCGGGGGTCTTCTCGGAGCGGCCGCGCAGACCCGGCGCCAGCCAGCCGGTCACAGGTGGGCGCGGGCGCCCCGCTCCGACAGCCCCGCGCTGCCCCCGCGCGCCCCTCCGCGCGTCCTTCCAGGCGGCCGGGGAACCGGGCCCTCGGACCGGAGCAGATCGGGTGGGGGCCGCCGGGGGTCTGTGGGGTGCGGGGCCCGCGCCGCCGGTCGCCCTGCGCCCCCGGGCGGCGTGGGGGCCCCGTGGCGGCCCCTCCAGCCGCGGTTACGCAAGCCTTTGGGCACTTTCTTGTCAACAGGCTTTCCCTTTGCCCAACTCCTTCCCGGGCGGTCACGGACGGGCTCCAGGTGGGAGGTCGCGCGCGGGCAGGTTGGATGGGTGGACAGATAATCCGTCGTCTTATGTAACCGCGGAGGAGAAGACTAATTGTGTAGGAGGCTGGCGCGCCTGCCTCTGCTTTTGATGTGTGTGAAGAGTGGGGTTCGGGTCCTCCCCTGCGGGCTGTCACTGGCACATCGGAGGGCCGCAGAGCCCCGCGGGGAGACCCTCTGAGGCGCCCTCCCAGGTCCTTCTGTGCTTGGCCACATGAGCGAGGCCTTGGGCGTCTCTCCCGTGTCCGCTGTGCCCACTTACACCCTCACCCCGGGGACAGCAGACCCAGGCTCCTGGGGCTCAAGGTCCTCTGCAGTCCCGCGCAGGCATGTTCCCGAGAGGGAGACTCCCGCCCCCGGTGTCCACAGAGGCTTCTTACAGGACTGGGTCTGAAGGTTAGCTGGTGGGCTGGGAGATGGAGGTGCCGTGTCTGTGTGGTAGCTGCTGGTTGGTGGCCACTGGATGGGGTGGGAGGCCCCGGCAGAGCAACAGTTTCTAGTTGTATTAAACAATTATGGCCGTGCCTTCCTAGCCAGCGGCCTGCGAAGCCCTCCCGGTAAGCTCGCTCCGGCTCTGGGCGGCCCCCAGGAGACTTCCCGGGTGGCCCCCGTTGCTCTCCGCTGGATTTCAGGTGGCAGGCTGTCCTGTAACGCGCGTTCTGGTAGAGGTTTTTAAAGTTACTGCGAGATCACGGCAGGAACCCGCAGCCGGGTGGGACTGGCCGAGTCAGTTCTGGAGCCATGTTAGCGCCGCTGGTGAGCAGGAGTCGGAGGCTGGCGAGGAGTCAGCACGTAAAAGGAACAGCCTCTGGGGTGTCTGTGTTTGGTACCAGAGAGAAGCCGTGGCATACGCTTCTGGTGGGGCTGCTCTGCGAACGCTGTCAGGGAAGAGAGGTTTATTAAATCATTAGTCATTAGTTCCGTAACCAAGTGCTCATTATCGCAGGGGGTGGAAGGGAAGTGCTGGCCAGAGGCTTCCTTTCCTATTTTCCCCGCTTCTGCCATGAAACCCTTAAACAGGAACTTTCGTGGTGACGGTCGCGAGGGGTGCGTGGCGTGGCTACACTCTGGGGAGCCCCGTGATCGTCCTTACTTAAACTCTCATAAGCTGGGCAGCGAGGCGTGCCGTTACGGCTGAGCAGCTCCGAGGTGGAGCTGTGATTTCTCTGCAGATCCGAAGTGAGATCCGCCGGCAGGATGGCGGCAGGAAGCTGGTAGGGTCTGAGTGTGGGGCCTCGAACCCCTCTGGAAGCCGGCTGGAGGGTGTCGGTGCACGGTCAACAGGCGAGCCTGTGCTTTGTGCCTGCGGGGCAGCTGACTGCTGAGCTCGCGTGGGGCAGGTGTGGCGAGGAGCCCGCAGCTCGGCGAGGCTGTGCCCCCGCGGCCGCTCCTGGTCGCCGCCGGCCGCACTGCCAGGCCGCCAGGTTGGCTTTGTGGGCGGTGTTCTTCCTGACGCTCCGTGGCCCAACTGCCAAGTCTTCAAGTGCTGGCACTCTCTTACCCTCTTGTGTTTTTTCCCCGGGGAGCGCAGCATTTGGTGGCTGAGCCGGCCTGGGTGGGGCAGCGTGGGTCTCCGGGGCTGGCGGAGCAGTCGTATGGTCCTGGCTGGTCCGCCGTCCTGTCCGGGAGGCCGTGCTACCTCTGTGGCCGGGCTGTGGCCCTGCTCGTTGTCCCCTGCACTGTTCCAGCGGCAGCTTTGAGCTCTGTTTGCTTTGGCAGAGAAGGGAGTAGTGGGCCGAGGGCCGCTTGTCCTTGGTCTTGCTGATTAGATGTGGGAATGGAATGTGTTCCTTTCTGGAGAATCAGCCCCACAGACTTCTGTGTCTGTCCTCGTGTCCCAGTCCCTGTGGGAGCCTCGTCCTTGGGGCCCTTCAGAAGCAGCACAGGGAGGGAAGCGGAATGGCTTCCAGGTGGCCACTGGGACTCACCTTCTGACCTGGGGTAGGGGACATGCACTGAAGCCTCCTGGGGGGAGGCACAGGGCTGTCGCTGGTGGGCTGGAGCTGCAGAGCAGAGCCTGGCTTCCAAGACCTAGTCTGGGGGCAGCCCCAGGCGGTTGCCGGGAGTGAGGGACAGAGGGAGGTGGGGCAGGCATCTACTGCTCAGAGTTAAGCCAAACCACAGCTTTCCCAGGAGAGACCTGTGAGTGACCCCACAGGCTGGAAGGAGGCTTTTAGAGTAACTGACCTCACGTCCCTGGGGCGGGGGTTTGGGGGAGTAGTTGTCAGGTGGGTGTTTCTCATGGTTTTCTATGCCAAGAGAAGCTGGGCTGTTGGCTGACCTGATGACCCTTCAGGATGGTGGCTCCAGCAGCTTCCCTAGGGACAGCAGCATCGCTGGGTCTGAGGATGTGGGAAGGTGGGAGACAGCCTGAGGAGGAAGACTCCCTAGGAGAGCCTCGGGCAGGGTGTTTTCTGGGGGTGTGGTCTCGGGCCCTTGGCCAGCAGGGCCAGGCTGGTCTCTGGAGGCTGTCCGGTCGTCCTCAGCCCGCGGCTGTTGTGGGGAAGCTGGCCTGTGCACATCATGGCTGCCCTGGGGGTGATATGGGGCTCCTGGAGCCGGGGTGGGGGGCCAGGTGGGGGCCAGGTGGGGGTGTTGGCACTGGGGGCAGGGAGCCAGCCTGGGCAGGTGAGAGCCCACTGCTGGCTTTCTCCACGGTTCCCACTCCCCTCCACTGGGTCCCACCCACTCCTCCAGGTGGGTGTTTGGGGGAGCCCTTGGAAGTCCTGTGCGGCTGACCCCAGACCTCCTGTCCCCTCTCCCGCGGCTGGGCAGTCTCACAAAAGTGTTTATTGCCCTCAGCAGCCTGGCGTCCGGCAAGGCCAGAGCTTGGGGGGGGCCGGCTGAAGAAGGTGCGGGCACCCCGAGAGACACTTCCCTGGCAGTGGAAACGCCTGCTGGGAGGAGCCCGCTGCTGCCAGCTGGGGGGAGGAGGCAAGGAGTCCCCACACCGTGCCCAGCTCTGCACACACGCGTGTGAGTGTGAACGCGAGTTTATGCGCATGCGTGTGTGGTGCTTGTTGGCTGTGCTTTAAAGGTGCTTTCCGGGGTGCGCCGTCGGGGTCCTATATTCGGAGAAGGTGGCAGGGTCTGCTGTCACCGACGGGACTACCTGAGCTCCTCTTCTCCTGCGTGGGCTACGCGGCGCCTGTCCGTCCCTGCCGCTAGCGTTTGAGGGGTGCACCTCCCACCCCCTTCCTGGGGGAGCTGGGGCAGTGAAGGGCAGTTTCTCTGTTGCACTGACCTTGAGGTGTTCGGCTGTGGCAGCTCCTTGTGCCCAAGTCATCCCAGAGATCGTCGGCTCCGTGCACAGGGCTCTTCTGGCTTACGGGGGACCTGGTGTATGGCCTGGAGGCGCTCGGCCCAGGCCTGTGGTTCCAGAGTTCTGCGCGTGTGTTGCCCGCGCTGTTCCTATGGGTCTTACTCTGAACACATGTCCTGTGTTTGAGAGCTTGGCTTGGCTCCTGGGACTCACCCATGGGCACCTGGTACTCCAGGTTACAGTGGTGGCCAGTGCTGGCCCTGGGCTTTTGGGGCGCTGTCAGCAGGGCGAGGCACTGGCAGTGCTGCAGGAGCGCGTCCCACGTCTGTCTGGTTCACGGTGACATCTGTGCTTTGCAGAGAAGCTCTCTTAGGGCTTGTCCTCTTCCCACCTCCCCTGGCCTGGATGTGCTGGCTGGGACAGGCAGCCTTTTGTGGGAGGACTAGCTGCTGTGCGAGAGGGCCTCACCCCTTGTTCTGCGCTCGGGGAGGCGGGCTGGCACTCCTCCTAAGTTTGCAGGTCTCGGTCGCACTCTGGAGAGCCCTGAAGTGTCGCTGCAGGGCCGGGTGGGCCACAGGCAGGGCTGGCCTTGCTGCTCCTTTGTCCCCAGTCAGCTTGGCCTGGCGCCCTGGACGTAGCTTGTGCTGCCATCCCCCAGTGGGACACCTGAGCTCTCAGTCCGGCACGGGGCTGTCCTGAGCTGCTGGCCAGGCCGGCTCCTGTCCTCTTTCTCGCCCCCCGGTGCACTGAGCCAGGGCCTGCCCTATGTCGCCTTCCTGGCCCCTGAGGGTGGGGAGGCTGTCCTTGCTAGGCTGCAGACCTGTGTCCCCTGGAGACGGAGCCCTGGGACAGTCAGGGCTGTCAGCACCATGCTACCGCCCACCGACGACAGCAGTAGTAACTGGGGCAGCACAGACCCAGCCGACCTCACCTCCCCAGCGCTGATCACTCTTGGCCCTGAGTGTGCGGCGTGACCTGGACGTGGCTTGAAGGGCCTAGCGCAGTGGACACAGGTGGCCCCAGCCAGTGGCCTGAGGGAGGTGGGGGCCTGGGCTTCTCTTAAAGCGCAGAATGTTCTGTTTTCGCGTGACTTGCTGCGGAGTAAAGCCGGCCTTGTCCTCAGACCCTGCTTGGGATGAAACAGCTGGGTTTTGGGTGCTTGTGTTTTCCCGGCCGTCAGCATCTCTGCCAGGGTCTGCCCTCCTGGCTGTCGGCTCCAAGGGCAGCGGCTCAGTCGCGCTCGACTTCTGGAGGCTGTGGCAGGTCTGTGCCCCTCTTTGCTGGGGCCCCCGGTCAGGCTGGGTG